TGAGGAGCCGAGCAAATACGAACGGTCTGGGAACCAATGCTCGAAAATAAGTGTGTAAAACGCTTTGTACTACGTGTCCGGTCTATGCGTTGTCTGGTTAGTGGTAATATCGTAAAATCGTTGTCAAAAAAAATTTCGTGAGAATCGGTCGAACCGTTTGGCAACGAACACCGCGACACGAGAATTTTATATACATACATACATATAAGATAAATGAAAAATATTATTATTTCTATTTAACAAAAAGAAAATTATTCTTATGCATTAATCACTGAGATAGTTGCATCCAAATTTAAAAAAATTACATATGTTTTCAGTGTGCCAACTCATTCTTGACGGACTGAATGTAAGCTTTATTTATGAACACTTTTTGTTCTCCAATTTGACAAATTATCTACATTATCTTCTTCACTAGAACTTGATTCTTGTTCAACCGAAAATGTGTTAATGTCCCTACGTTTTTTTTTTGAAAGCTTGTTTTTTTTATCATTTATTCTTATGAACCTTTTCCAGTTTTCAAGTTGTTCGTCAATTTCTTTCAGATGCCGTTTAATATTCACGCTTTCCTGTTCCTCAGATATGATATTGTTCGAAATAGTAGCCGCTTCCCTTATTTCTTTTTGAAATTTGATCCATTCCGCCTCAGGATCTTGTTCAGTTCCACATACAGATACTGACTTCTCATGATCAAAAAATTTCTCGGGTAATACCTGAGACTTATTTAATTGCGTCACGTGAGCCGTCTGATCAGAGCCCGATTGTTGCTGAATTTTAGGATTATCATTAAGACATATTTGTATTCTTTTAGACGTGTTTAGGGTTTCCGAAATATTCTCGAATTCCCTTTGTCGTTTAGCAAGCACAACATATTGTTTGTGCTGTTTCGAGTTCAGATGTACCTTCCATATATTTGGCTTGATAGGCATCTTGCATATTATGCATGATAAATTACCTAAGGAATCATATGTAAAACATATATTAAGTAAACCAAAATCTGGGCAATTTTATGTCCCTGCATGTAATTACATCAGTTGTACAAATATATATACATGTGTATTTACACACAAATGTTTGAAAAGGATATTTGGCTATGGGCGAGTCAACTTTAAAAAATTTGTCTTTCAAATCAATCTTTCCACGATTTTTGCAAATAAATTTATTCTTGTCTTTACTTTGATCCATGTTGACTCTTGCCGATATACTCAGAACTAGTAGTGACAGATACTATCGATATTGACATTAGATAACGATATGGACTACCACGGTTGCATTTGATAATAACCACTGACCAATGACACATAGATATCACCACTAACCAGACAACACATAGACCGGACACGTAGTGTAAAGCGTTTTGCAC